AATGTTCGAATTTATATAAAGTTTGTTTAGATTCACTTATGTACTTATGGTACAATGTTTTAATTTTGGTGAAAAAGCTTGATAAATAAATAACAAATTTCCTCATAAGTTTTTCTTACCATAATTAAGATATATTGAAAATAAATATTCACAATTTTTTTTGAACAAGCGTATTATTTAACACAACTCCACAACCATTACTGCAGTGCTCTACTCATTGATTACCTAGTACACTCGATACTTATACTTTATGGGACAGCTACTTTTCTGGTTTTTTGTCTATGTCGATACCTACATAATTTATGCAATTAATAATTTTAATCAAACAGAAATGTATACAGTGACAATTTGCCGTTAATATATTATAAACAAACTCGAGATCTTCAAATATCAAAATTATAGGTATGGATTATGGACGTAACTAGGAAAACTYATCAATCAACAAAAATAATCATTTTTGAAAACAATTTAAAATTTGTTTTTATACATATACGTCTTTTTTGGGTAGGATGAATTTTTAACATCTCTGATATTTATACTTATATGTTTTTGGTTATAACTATTTTTAATAACTAATAAGAAATCACGTTTTTATTAATTTATTTWATSTGCTTGGTATTTAAWTCAGCCTGCAGAACCATTTTTAAAAATTGAGATTTATTTTATTTTATTATGATTTATTTAAAATATAACAAAATATGGCRTCCCTATGTTAAAAAATGTTTAATGCAATGGAATAGATATGGGTAAAAATAGTTAATCAAATTATTTATGWAATATACATAAACGATACTCCAAAAATGTGAAAATTCCAAGTTTTGACATTCTTTTTATTTTATTTTTTAAGGCGTATCTTAAATAGTTGTCGATTAGAAAGGAAATTTAGTATATTATTTTCAAGATAAGCAACAGTCTGGTCAGTATGCGTTACAAACTGAAATTATATCATTTCATAGAAAATACAATTCAGATATACATATAGATATCGTTTTAATGATTTTAGGATGTGTTATCATTATTAACGCCAGAGGCATTCGAGTCGATACCTATACTATTAACTCAGTGTAGTGGTATGGTGGTTATTATAGTTCAGACAAGACTGTAAGCTGAACTCCGGAATGGTCATGGTAAGTTGTTCCATTCATGCAATAAATATTTTAATCGTCTTAAATCTAATATAATACAAGGCTTAATAAATCATATAGTTATTATTTTAAATAATATAAATGAACTTTAAACTTTTTAGGAAATCATGAAAATATTTTAAAATATTTTAACTGTTTAAAATGTGCACGTAGGTACTTGGAAGCATAAATTGTGGGATTCATGTATTGTATTACTTTTTRGAAGGTTGGAAAAACCTATTCCTAAACTACCTTATTTAAAATRTATATTTACTTTCCACACATTATTTAATAATTGTTGGCAAACTCTTTTTATATTTCTTAATTTTTAAAGAAAACATAATTAACTTAAATACGTACTCAGTACTTAGAAATTATATCCATTAGTTCGCAAACATTTTAATTTCTTATGTCCTTGGAATCTACATTTTTACTTGTAAGTTTTTGTCCTGTACAATCTGTTAAAAATATAAATATTTTTTTTTTTTTTTTTTTTTATTAATTAAAGGCTTCAAATACAAATGTTTATTAGCCTACAATGGTTAATATAAATATTATGTGGTGCATTACATAAGTACATTTGGTGTGTGTGAGAAA